GGAGAACGCATTCGGCGGTGCCAGGCGAGAAACACGGGGGGTTTCAGTGCAGCGTGGCCGCTTTCTGCTGCTTGTGTTTAGAAGGAGCATTCATCCTTTCTGTTCCATCGGGTGAATGCCAGTGTTCAGCAGCCACGTGGCTGCTGCATTTTGGTGTGATGTGTTTGTGTGCTTTTCGGTTCTTGTTTTAATAAGGGTTATTGAGGACCAAGTCTAGGTATAGGCAAAGTTGAAAGTTGTCAGTTTCAAACGGCAGTCCCTCTGCCCCCCCCTTCCTTTTGGTTCTGCTGTGTCGTGCCCCCCCTGTGTCATCCCCCCCTGCCCCCCCGATCTTTTCTTGCCAACTTCACTCTCCTTCTTTACCCTGTCTCTGCCCAGGAAAGGAGCACGCCAACCTGCTTTGAGCTTAGTCTCTCTTTCTCTCTCTTTTTCCCCTCCAAACCCCCCACCTATTTTGCATTGCTTATTTTAGCAACATTTTATGCTTTTCTTTCATGTAAAACTAGCAGACTACCCCTTTTTCGGCAGAGGACAGCATGCGATGCTCATCAGACATACATCCAGTGTTGATTTTGAGTTGCTTTAGAATTAAAAAAAGCCCCAGTTTCTGAAAACTCCTGAGTTGATAGAGGGCTATGATACCTAACAAGGACTGCGTATAATATTTAAACACTCTGTAGAAATTGTAGATTTTGCTGTATAGCAGAAGAACTCTTGTTGACCAGTAAGCTTATTTAGAAAGTGCGGCACTTTGTGTTCTTTGCTTATGACCCAGTTACAGCCCTGGGTAAATGAGAAGCTGGGATTGCCGACACGCTGTGGTTTTACAGGAATTTTGAGTCTGAACATATTCTGCAGTTCAAGGAGAATAATGCTGGAACTTGGAAATAACTTGTGAAAGTAGAAAAATACCTGAAGTACACCTGCCTTATGTATTTCCATAAGAAGATTGTACAACCTACTTAATTGTCTATCTTTGCAGTATTTCTGTTTTCCAAGTGTTTCTCTGTGTGTTTTGTATCTGCTATCTCTTCATTTTTGTTTGGGTATGTAGAGGCCAAGTGGTATCTTGTGTGTGGAAACTGAAGGTTTTGCTCTTGGTTACCCTTAGGCTTTTATTTACTTACAGTTATTTAAGTCCAGCACGGGCTGAGTGCTGAGGTGTAGACACTGAGATGCCCTGGGGTCCCTCTTGCTTTCCTCAGAGGATAAGGCTGAGGAAGAGACACGGGGCTCCAGGAAGTTCTATAATAGCCCAGGAAGTTCTATAATAGTCCAGCATCTAAAAGCTGGTGGCCGCCAGGTGGGACCAGGACATGATGAGGATGCAGGGAGAGTTGTTTGTGCTTGACCCAAGTCCCTTGCAATGATACGGCTGAGACTTAGGAGGCCTAAAGATGAACTCTGTGTTGCTTCCCTGCTGGATTTCTTCCAGTTCCCCCCTTCAGTGTTTTTTATATGCTTTAATTTTAAGACTTGCCGTGATGCACAGTTTGCTCTGGGTGTTTCCCTTATGTATATTGAGCTTTTCCATTGATTCAGCTTGGCAAAATCACTAAGAACCAGAGCGCCATGTTAAAAGAAAAATGTTGAAACTGTGTGGTATACTGGGCCTAAATTGCTGGGTTTGGTGGCAGGGGCTGCAGGGGTGGGGGGGTGGCATCCCATGGGCTGCCCTCAGGGATGCCCCCGAGGGACCGCGGCTGCCCCAGACTGGAGTTGAGGGCACCCCTGAGGGACCGCAGCCACCCCAGGCCAGAGCGAGGACGTCCTTGGGGGACCAGGACCAGTGGAGGAGTCGTCTGTGCTGGGACAGGGGAAATCGAGTGAAGCAGCAAGAAGGGGAAGGACAAACGAGAAGCGAGGAGGAGCAGACAAAAGCTATCTCCCACACAACCCCCAGCCTCCTGTGCTGCCTGTTGCCTTGCCAATGGCATTGGGATGGACTTGAGTGTAAGGCACGGCAGAAACAAGGGAAGTTAGACTAGGAAAGCGGGGGGAGAAAAGGTGTTTGGCTGAAGTTGTGCCTTGGGAAGGGGGAGGAAAAGAGTTTTCCCTCAGTGTTTGCTGAACTGCTTAGTCTCTTTTTTTTTTCTTCAACTCCTGAAACAGTAATTAAAAGTGCGTTAATTGGCAATAAATAAAGTAAAATTAAGTGAAATTCCCTGAGTTGAGATTGTTTTGCCCACAACGTACAGACAACAAATTTTGGGGATTCCTGTACTTCTTTTCCAGTTTTTGAGCCCTTGGGGTTTCCCTTAATCACCTTTACAGCTTTGCTTTTGAATTTTGGAAGCCTAGAGATAGATCCTTTAAAACAAACAAACAAACAAAAAAAATCTGAAAGCTGAAATTTTTATGTGATGATGAGACTTTGGAGAGGAGAGCTGGCTTTAGGAAAAATTCCTAGTATTGCAGGAGACATGATAGAATCGCCAGAGTTGGCAGCCCTGCTGTGTTGCCTCTCCTCTCAACTTCTGCAGCCTTCCCTGCTTGTGTTGGTCGTCTCCTTCACCATATTGATTTTTACGGTGTAATCTACTCGGAGCAAGCGTTTTGTCTATTATGCACTTGTAATGCACCACACATGCATTACTATAGAAGTACACCACACATGCATTACTGTAGAAATAATCTAATACAAAGTGCCTGGGATTTAAAGTATCGAGTGGTTCGTAGCCAAAAAAGCATTTGGCCAAAAAAACCTGCGTTTTTGTGCTCCCTCTGCTGGATCTGGAAGAGCAGGAAATATCCACCGGCTGGAGCGTCGCCGGTTCCCCTCCTCGCTCTTCCCCGATTCACATCCCGCAGCTCCCTTATCGGGCGCCGGTGGGTAGCCCGCTACCCCCAAACTGTGCCAGTGAGAGTGTTTTGGGGATCTTCCTAGAAATAGGATGAGTGAACGGATCAGGCTTTAATAAAAAGCTGATTTATTTTTTTTTTTTTTAAGAAACGGATTCCAGTTCAGAGCAAAACCCCGTGAAGTGTGCTGGCAGAGCTGGGGCTGGCGTGAGGGCACGGGAACAGGCTGGGGTGGCGGTGGGGGAGATGGTATAGCCCCTCAGCAGGTTGCGTGGTGAAACCAGGGAGCAGATGCTGGTGGGGACAGCGCTAGTGTCCTTAGAATAAGCTTGGGCCTGATTTGCGAAAGGGGTGGGTGGTCTGTAATGTGAATTCACAGAAATATTAATGGGATAGCTCTTTTAAGAGGTGCTTTATAAAACAAAGTAGGAATTGTGGTGCCAGTTTTACAGATGAACTACAGCACAGAGGAGGGGAGCGAAGGGTTGGCTTTGTGTGTTGCAGCAGTGCAGTTTAAGCTGGTTGAAGCAGCCTCTGTTCCTACCCTCTGCCATCATGGCTGATCACTTCTGCCCTCTGCCCGCTCCCTGTGTTGTGTTGGCACAGCTGATTATGAGACAACACGCTGAAGGAAATTAGTTCCCCCTGATTCAGCTAACCACGGAGCTGCACAAATGCAGGATTGGAAGCAAGGGTCCAGGAGAGAGAAGTGAGAGGTAAAGTTTAAGCTGCCAAGTAAATGCTCCAGCCCCATTTGCCGAAGTCCCATCCCATCGCACCTGGAATGGTAGCCAGCTCCTGGGGCAGACAGAACAAAAGTTTATCCTTTGGAGGAACAAACTTACTAGTTATTTATCCAACTTCTTCCAACTTCATTAAAGACCCAGTCTGCATTAGCTGAGAAAGTCATGTTAACACATACTAAATCTGAATCAATTAACATGTTTTCCCTGGCTTGTATAAGCAGAACAAAAGCACTTGGGAAAACTTCTGGATGAGAATAAATATGTTCTGGGGGAAAACGTTCACAGTTCAATGAGGCCTTAAAAGCCAGCCGTTCACCCAGGGTGCCTGTCAATACGTAACTTCTCTAAAACTGCCATTTGCTGTGAGACAAGAAAACCAGCAGAGCTCCTGTCCGAAGCAGACGGTCACTTGGTGGCACTGTACGTGTCGGGGTGGGATGGCTGTTTCTAACACATGGCTTTCAGACGCGTTTTTATTCTTGGTGAATTATCAGCGAACAGAATAAATATGACTGCAGCACAAATATTGAATGCGACTAACAAGTTATTGAGGTTTTTCCTCTGCATTTTTTAAGTCACCTGTGACTTCAGCATCATAAGAGTTGTTACAGAAGTGTCGGCTCCCACAGCTGGTCCTCGGGGAGGAACCCGGACTGGCCGTGAATTGTGTGCCTTATTTTTTTCCGTAATACTTGCTTTTTCATGTTTGATGGAAAATTCTTTTGCGTGGAAGTTACTTGGAACTTAGTGAAAAGAGCAGCAAAATGTACTCATCGTGTTCCTTCCTTCGATATTTGCTGAGTTTTGGAGCCTAGTAGTATAAGGCTGTAAGGACACCTTGTCTGCCTGCTGAAACAGCATGTAACAAAATACATACTGCCTGTAAACATTCGCCTGTTTCCCTCTGCAGTCTTTCTTTATAATTATAAAGCATTTCCTAGAAGTCACGGTGCTGTGTCAACATAATCCATAAACTTGCTTGGTTTCGCTACAGACAGGATGGTGGCTTTGGGGGTATTTTGGCATATTTGCTTAAGCAGAGTTTGGGGGTTGGTTTATTTTTTTTAATGGTACTTAGCTCACAACAGTCAGTGAGTACCCTTTATAAAGAGAATAAAAGAGACTTCAGCATGACCTTTAACTGAAAAAAAAATTACTATTTGATTCAGGAAACTTTTATATAAACCTCAACAGAATTCTTATTATCTTTTCCTCATCTCATTGTTACAGGCAAGAAAACCTGTAAGACTTAAACTGCTGGAATGAGTCTCAAAAGCTTGGGGGTGGCAGAGCTGGGCTGGAACCCCGACCCAGCCTCGGGTCTGGTCCTCCAGGCTTGGTCCTGGGACTCCTAAATGCTCTTCATTCATTTCAGGGCTGTTCAGCGAGCTTCTTCAAATGCTGCCATGCTACGCAGAATGGAATCATGATGTGTCTGTGTTTTTATTGCAGGAAAATGGGTCTTGTTATGTGAAGGCGTTGAGGAAACAGTCCCCAGCTACTGAGAGGAAGAAAGGCCGGTGGGACATACTCAGGTAGGAGAGCTTTATGGACCATCAGGCGGCAAAAACACCTGTGGGCCTTCAGTCTTTTTCCAGACGCTTCATGGTGTTTTATGCTTTAAGGGCCGATCTGGTCACTATCAAAGTTTTATTTGTTGTTTTAAGAAGCAGTCCTGTTTGGTCAATTGATTGCAACAAGAAGACACTGCAAGCAAAGCCCTCAGCATAAACATTCCTCAGGCTATCCCTGGTACAATATTGATCCTGATACAGAATACAAACAAATTACTCTTTGCATGAGCCATTCGAGATATAAAACAGAGCAATAATATGTTCTGCTTGCTGCCAATAAATGTGCATTTATAATAAACAAAATGGAAATCCCTGAGTAGAAATGAACAGTACTTTCGATAATGTGTTCAATAGCTCATGTCCAGCTGTTGTACAGAATTAAAAAAACCCCACAGAGCAAGCACTCCAGGGTTTCTGTTGCCTTCATAGAATCATTCAGGTTGGAAAAGACCTCTAAGATCATCGAGTCCAACCGTCGACCCAACACCACCATGCCCACTAAACCATGTCCCTCAGCGCCTCATCTACACGTCTTTTAAATACCTCCAGGGGTGGTGACTCAACCACTTCCCTGGGCAGCCTGGTCCAATGTTTAACCACTCTTTCAGTAAAGACATTTTTCCTCACATCCAATCTAAACCTCCCCTGGCACAACTTGAGGCCGTTTCCTCTTGTCCTATCGCTTGTTACTTGGGAGAAGAGACCGACCCCCACCTCGCTACAACCTCCTTTCAGGTAGTTGTAGAGCGCGATGAGGTCTCCCCTCCCTTCCCCCCTTAAGAAAAACAATCTTTGCAAATTTGTTCTGTTGCTGCTTTTGCTTTGTTTTGGGTTTTTTTTAGATATTTTAAATATTTTATAAAGCAATAGGTAATCTCATCTTTGCCTTATTTCCAGTGTAGTTCAGAGCTTCTCAAGAATTTGGTCTACATCTTAATTTTCTTGTGCACCAGCTGCCTTTCGTTACGCTGTTATGTGGGTCATCTCCACTTTCACTCCTTGTCATATCCCCGTGGCATTTCCTTATATTGGGAAAGAGCATTAAAGACATTTTCATATATTTGTAGTTGTTTTGAATGCAGCTGAAATTAGTGGGGGGAGGAGTCAGTACCCTTGTGCCCATCACCACCGAGAGTGCATGGATGATAACTGAACCCATTTCCAAAAGGAGAAAAGTTAATGATCATCAGAACGTAGATTATTTTATTTTTTTTTAATCTGTTCTACCATGCTCATATAATCCTCTTCCCCCTCATCCATATTGTCAGTGCTGCACTTTCATGAGCTACAGACAGTTGACCTGAAGGCATTTCTTGATGAACATTTCTGTCTGCTCTCAGACTTGAAAAACTCAACCTTTTCAAGAGCTGTATGGGAGTAAAATGTGTAAGACTAATATTTATAGGCTGAAAGAAAGGGGAGAAGAAAGACTAAAGTGTAAAACTTGCTTCCAGCAAAAATGCCATCCCTCTTTTACCTCTGATAATTAGAAGCATTTCTGACATGGCTACAAAAGCAAGTTAGTGGTGTGTGCCTGCCATTTGCTGTGCTTTTGTACTGCATGACTGTTTTCCTTTTTGTATGGTGATGCTTTCTTCTATTTTGTTTTAAGACAAAACACAAATTTCAGCTGATACTCAACTATGACATTATGATTCATCCGTACTCCTTCATTTTAAACTATTACTTCCAAGTACTTACAAACGATTGTTTATAAAAATGGAAGGTTGTTACTTGAGTTCACGTTTTGAGTAGTTTTTCATAATGTTTAGCAAAGCTCATGTGCATAAATCCTTTCATTACTAGTTATAACTGAAATCATACTGGAAGACTAGAAGGAGGAGAGTTTTTAACCGTGCCATAGTTTTCACCGGGAAAAGATCTTGGCTATATTAAGAAATACAATAGTACTGATTGTAACTCTAATAGGAAATTTAGAGGATATTGCAAATAGTTTTTAGTGGTGCTTTAAAGAAGCACAGTGTAAGTGCCTGTATTTTATGCCCCCTGAATGTAGGTCTAAGACTTTGGTCTTTTATTATAAAAATAATGTGTGCAGGCATAGAAATGCAGCAAATAATTAAAAAAAAAAAAAAAAGCCAACAAAATCCAACCAACAACAAAACCCACCAAAACCCACCCTGTTTTAAAACTGTGTTCCTGAAAATTTCCTGGAGACTTCCCTAGACTTGGATTCTGGTTTAAAAAAATAAAATAAAAAATCATTTTTCTGTTCCGTGAAGGAACTTGGGAAAGAAGTTCCTTGCTGTGCCTTCAGGTCACGTGGCCTCGCTGCTGTAGAGCTGGAATGTTTGCCATGGTATTTCCGGAGGCTTCGTAAACACACAGAAAGAACAGGGGGGGTTAGGAGGATTTTTTTTAATTATTATTTTCTCCCCCCAGAGTTGTTTGTGGGTTTGTTTTTTTTTTTGGCAGCCTAAATTCATTACACTTTAGGTGTAGGGTTTTTTTAGGAATTTGGAGGAATTTTTATCTGATCAGTCCAATGAATTTTAAGGCTTCATCTGTTTTTTAAAGAAAAAAGTTGAGAGGTATTTGGCACTTTTTAATTGCTGAATTTGTCTAGAATTACTTCTTACTTAATGTAATACCTGGCAATCTACATATTAAGCCTAACTCTGCTATTTAGATGGTCTTAATGGTTTAGTTTTGGCACTTGTCACTGTGAGTGGCATTCAGTAATCTGACTTGATAGCTGTCATCTTGCAAGCTAGAGTAATGCAAACAAAAGATGAGCACTCAAACAAGGTTACAGCGAAGAGCCAATTCCTAAGTCCTGCTGCGGCGGCGTAGAATCCCCAAGTCAAATCAGAAAAGCACAGAATTAGTTCTGGCTCCTGGGATATCAGGGTTAAGATTATGCACACCTCTTCTTTCTAACTGTAGGAATAGCACATGCTCCTTCTGAGACTTTGCAAACACCAGCTCAAACTGGGAGGACCTCTGTGTTAGTCTGTAATGTCATGGGTACGTTACGTCTTAGTGGCAAGGTGGGCTCCCTCTTATACCCCTGGGCTGGCAGAGATGCATCTTCTCCTCCTCCTCTTTCCTTCCCCTTCTAGCCGAGCTGAGCTGCCTGTTGAACAAGGGCAGAGACCTGATCCTTTTTAAAAATAACCCAGCAAAAATGGGGAGGGAGGGGGAGGATGAATGGACTATTTTTAGCTTAACCAATTCCATTTGCTACACAGTACCATAAAGCTGTCCTCACGCTACCAGGAGGGGTGGGGAGAGGGCAGCGCAAGGGGAGCTGGTGACAAGCAGCCAGAGGTAGGACCTGCTTGTTCCAGCTTTGCCACTGCAAAAAATCACCCCAGCAACATGGCTGTGTATTCCATGAGGCCGCTCAGGGCATGGTCAATGGAAGGTTTCTAACCGTATCAAGATGGGCTTGTTGCTCAGTCAGATTATTAATTACATCAGAAATTACAAAAAGGCAGCATAGTTTGGCTTAGAGCTTTCCTTTAAAGTACGAAACAGTAGGGTTTTTTCCCCAAATTCAGGCCCTGAATTGGCATACCGAGGAGGAGCCTCGGTAGATCTGGAATTGAGCAAGGGTTCTGCACGTTGACAGGGCTTCCTCGCTCCTTCCTCCTCTCCCCTACCAACCGTTTCGAAGCTCATCTTTAAGTGTGATTAATTATTTAATGATACTCTCCTGGTGTGGAAGTGTAGCATCATTTACTTTATTAAAGTAAGACTTACGTTTTGTTTCAATAAAATATGTAATGTCTGATTGCCGCAGGTGCCATATTGTCTGACTCCTGCGGGTACCCCCTCAGACCTGTGTGCACACAGCAACACAAATGTTGGACGACAGAAGAAGGGAAAGAAGGAAGAGGAGCAAAATCGTGAATTGAATAGCTGGGATGATCTTAGGGTAGAAAGAATAAGGCAAAGACACAGCAGGAAAAAAGGCTGGAGTTTTGAAGAAGGGAAACTGTCCCTCCTAAAACCAGCTGCTTTGACAGAAACAGATGTAAGAAAATATGGGCATCTTCCCATCTGAAAGAAGATGGGAAGAACCAGTTGAGGTGGTTGTAGTGATAATTTTGGAAGTGCTCCCATGCTGTAGGGGTAGGCAGATGGGGTACAGCAATTGCTGTCTAGGCCACTGATGTTTGAGTCACTTCTTCTCTTTGCATGCATTTCTGCAATTTCAAATCTGTACAGCTGAGTTGAGGCACGCTTCGAGTCTGAAGGTAGCCAGCTGAACTGGTAAAAACACGTTGCCACTGTTTTCTGGGTGCTCTGCCCCTTGTCATGTCAGTATTGGGGTGGGGACTGAGGAACGGAGTCCTTCTTTTTCCCCCTGCTTTACCTCAGTGGTTATTGGTATAAAACTCTTGGATCCTGTGACATAGAACACATACTATGGTAATTGGTCAAAGTCTTCTGGATTGGTCTGGTCTAGAATGGTGGTACCTACTGGTCTGTAGCTAGAGCAGTCGACTGAGAGGGAATGGTATGGACCTAAGAAGAAGTCCTGAAGCTATTGGACTGCTATATGTGGGGAAAAAACATACTGTTTCAACGATCAGCTTAAATATAAATGCTCTAGTACTTATAAGGTATCTTTTGTAAAAGTAAGCCGTGATACAAAGGCAAACTGTGTTTTAAGTTGAGCATTATCTGCTTGTGTATGGTTTGTTTGTTTGTTTGTTTTCCCCCCCGAGTGAACATGTAGAAATTTGGAGAAATACCCAAGAAATCTTGTACAGTATAACTGAGTAAAATGTTGGTAACTTCTTACTTGAGTTGTCTTCGGTGCTGTGCTTTTTAATAAAATGCTGTAGCGCCTGAAGTTTCAGGTGAAAAAGGGACACAAATCCACCTCTTTAGGTCGCGGAAATAGTGTACAAGAGCTTCCATTTTTTGGGGATGTTCCAGTGTTTTGTCTTGTTCCTTAGCATATCTCACTGGTTTGTAGCTTCTGTGCC